AGAAGAGAGAGAGAGAGAGAGAGAGAGAGAGAGAGAGAGAGAGAGAGAGAGAGAGAGAGAGAGAGAGAGACCCCAATACCCGAAGGCGATTGGTCGCGGGAGGAGGGGCGGGCGTGAGAGCGGGTCCCGCGCGGGGCCTGCAGAAATCGCTGGCTCCGGCTGCCACCTAGCGGACGGGAGCCGAGCCCGGGAGGCGCACGCCCAGGTCCCTCCTCCCCTCCCTGCAGGCAGCCGGTGCTTTTTCTGCAAACGAAGATAGCACTTTGAAAATTCTTTCAATGGATTTTTTTCCTTGAAAGATCGTACTGGGGGAAAATGATACTTCTATTAGTTACATATTCTCCAATCGCACACTCGCACCCCCCTCATTTTGAGATCGCTCCCCTAGGCAGGCTCAGGCGGGCGCGGAGCGGCGCAGTGACAAAGCCGTGGCTGCCGCTTCGGAGGTGGGAGTCGCGCTCGCTCGCCCGCCCCTCGACTCCGGAGAGCGTAAAAGTTTGTCTCAGCCTCAGCATCCTGAGCTCCAACACGCCCTCAGGTAAAGGTGAGATGGGAGTAAATGGCCACGCTGAATTGACAGAGGTAGGGTTTACTTTTTAATATTCGTTCTCACTTTAAATCTCACCAGGGAGGGGTTTGGGAAGCGCTGGGTGTTTTGGGTGCATTTTGTGCTTCCTGGTCTCTCCAGCTTAAGTCCGGAATCGGCGACCACTTGGCGACGATTTAGAGCAGAATAAAGGCTTTCTCGTGCCTGCCCCCCCAGCCCCTCTAGCTCAAATAAAGGAGACAGTCAATGCACTCCGAAAGTGGCGGCCCATTGTATGCAGTTGATGGCGAGGAGTATACTGGGGGCGGGTCGGCGCTCCTTGCCCTCGCCCCCTCTCCTTAGATAAACGTGCTCACGTTTGCCTGTCAGTCAAAAGGTGAAACAAACACGATTAAATACCAAAATAAAATAAAGGAAAAGAAAGAAAGAAAAAAAGGAAGAAAGAGAACAAGTTTTCTCTATCAATTTTAAATTTTACTCCCTGTACTGTACAGAGGCAGGCAGTCGAGGGCAGAGGAAGCAAGCAGCGAGAGAGAGACAGGCAGAAGGCAGGAGAACGCGGGTAGAGAGCGATGGAAGAGGAGACAGGAGCAGGAGGCGAGAACGAGCTCCAGGAAACCGGAGGCCTGCTGGACGCTGGCTTCTTGGGCCCAGCCGCCCTCGGACCCGGGACCGTGTGTCGTGGGCACCGGGAACGAGACTTGCTCTCGACAAGTCCTGCTGCACCAGGCAAGTAATGCAATGGTTTTCGTTTCCTTTGAACTCGGGGTTGGTATGAATGTGAACGGGGCCGGGAGGCAGCCTTGGCTCGCTTGGCCTTCTCGGACCCGGGCTGCAGGACAGGCAGTCAGGGCAGGAAGAGAACTTTTCTGCTGGGCCTGCTCGGGAGCAGCCCTCACCTGACCACGGTTCAGCCGCGGCGCGAAGGCGGGGATCGCGGGCTCGGTGCTGCTCTGGAGCTGAGGAGCGTGTCAGTCAAGCGCCGGTCCAAATTCAAAACAGGTTTCCCACACCCTCCACTTGCTACCCCCTATTTACCTCCTTGGCAGGAAAAGCTTCCCAGCCTCTAGCGCGGCGGCAGAGGACCGGGATGAGGGAGGGGAGGAAAGGAAAGGATCTTAAGGTTTAGCATCCGCACCCCGCCCGCGCTGCTGCGAACCCCGAGCTGCGATGGAGCAGGCTGCGGAGCCCACTGGCCCGGGTGCCGGCGCCTCGCCTGGTTGCGGCCAGGGCCTGGCGAGCTCGGCTCCAGCCATCCACCTGCGGGCGCCGTTTGTAACGGGATCTCCTAACGTTACGCGATCGGTGGCCGCTTGTTTGATGTGGGCGATAGTGTCAGCGGATTAAAAGGGACACCAAGCAGCTCTCCCCAGTGGAGAACCCGAGGCGGCGGCGACCAGAGAGCACCGATCCGCAGCGCCGCAGCGGAACCGGATTCCTTTTGCCGCTGCTAGAGCGCTGGAGGAGGGAGGGGGTCACTTCCCTGGGGTGGGGACCGAGGGTGTGTGTGAAAGGAAAAGCCTCAATTAAAACCGTCCAGAGCTCTCTTGCTCGCGCTGGGCAGGGGTGCGTGTTTGCGTCAGAGGGCGCGCAGGGCGGGCGCGGGGGGCGGGGGAGACCACGCCGGGGACCGAAGCTGGGGGCTGGGTGCGCGCGGGAAGAGCCAGCCAAGCTACCCAGGCCTGGGTCGGGCCCTGGAGACTAGGGGTGAAGTAAAGCGGGAGAGATGAGACTCCCCGGGAGTCGCGGCGCCCTCTACCTTCTCTCTGGATTCTTCCTACCAGTCTTCCACCCTAAGGGTCCAAACTTGGAAGAGGCCCCTGACAGGAGAAGTGATGCCCTCGAGGCCCAGGCGTAGCCTCCAGCCCCTCCGGAAGGGAAGGGTGAAGCCCCTGGTCTTGTCCAGGACAGGAGGGGCTTTGGTGGTGGCGCCCCGGGCAGTGGAAACTCTTCTTGGCTTTTTGGTGGAAGCTACTTAAGGGTATATCGACAACTTTCCGTCTCAAGAGGGGGCAGGAAGAAACCGAAGCTGGTGGAGGAGAGAGGCGCTGTCCCTTTTGGGGACTTCTTCCGGTTCTGAGGCTATCAGGGCTCAGTTTCTCTTCTGGACCAAGTGTCCCCCAACGCGTTTGTTCCCCCCACCCCCTCCAGAGCGCCTCCATTTGTGCTTACAGCCCTGCCTCCATCAAATGACTTCCGTGGGGGGTTGGGGGGGTGGTACCTATGGGTCAGCCCAGGTCCTGGGGAGCTCTGCTTTCTCACTACAAAGGCTGTCGTTTGTTACTGGTTCAACTTGTCACACTTGTCCCAGGCCTAATGCACCATATGCTCAACCAAACCAGGAGACCGAGCTCTCTGCTTTTGGGTTGTGGGACCTAATAAAACAGGGAATCATATTTCGCGAGAGAGCGTGTGGGTTCCCAAACTGTGAATTTCCCCCTACGTGTCCAGGCATGTTAGCAGCAGCAGCGGCAGAAAACTCAGTGGCAATTTCCACCTTTTCTTTCACTTAACCTCTCATCTTCAGATCTCTCTTCCTCCCTTCTCACTCTTTTATCCCCTTTTATCCCTCCTCCCCCTCCCCCACATCACCTTTAACTGATTTTGGTTTTGGACCCAGAACCACTGTGATCCTGCCTCAGCACCCTACCTGAGACTGATAGCCGAGGTCCATATATCTTGGGCCCCCTGTAAGTTGTCTTTTCTCTAGGTTAGGCCTGTGTAGGGATGAAAAGACCTTCATTCTGGAGTGTCTTTCCTTTCTGGTCTCCACAGACCCTGTTCAATGCACACAGTTCCTACAAGAGAAGACGAGATTTTCCCCTACTTGAGGAAAAGGAACCAGGCTGTAAGCTTATAATACCTATTGTCAGTTGCCAGCAGCATAACTCAGCCTTCATCACTAGAAAAAAAAATCTTTCACACACTTGGTCTCTCCTAAAGGGACAGCCAGCTCATAGTTGTTACCTGGGGGAGAAGGAGAAAAAGGGTGTTCTGTGATTTGCATTCCAGGCCAAGGGTTCCAACTTAGGTAGATTTGATAACTGATTAACAGCCACCTCCCCAACAGCATTCTTTTAAGGAAGGGTGAATCATTCTTCACCAATCCTGGGAAACCGATATAATTTGCTATTTTGCACTTACAAAAGTCAGGATCATTCATTTTGGCTTTTAGTTACATCACACTGAACAAAGATGGTCTTGTAAAAACGTTTTCTAGTTCAAGAGCTGTGAGAACCTGCATCCGATCAGATATCTGTAGAAAATTCTCTCCTGTACTTCTCTCTCCCCCTTAACATCATTAAAAAATGGTATCATTTCATTTTAGAGAGACTATTGAACAGAATGACCATGTTTTGTCAAGCCTATTTTGAGAGATGAACATGGCTGCCATCATTGGGAGAAAGGTCAGTTCTTGTGATCCCACTGCAGACCTTTCCCAAAGAGCTTATTTTAAAGGTGCCGAATCAATTAGTCTCCCTTGGCATGAGATTAAGGCTGGGAAGAACGCAGTTGAAGAAGATATATTTAAAATAGCCCTGCACAGATCTTTTGAAGAAGAGGGTGGAGAGAAGCACAGGAATGCCTGTCTAATACCCTGTGATTATAAAAAATAAAAAATAAAAAACAACAAAACAAAACCAAAACACCAAAAAGTCCCAGTCTGCCTCAGAAACCCTCTCTTTCATAAGGCTGAACCAAGTCTATATTATGATTGTCCAGTTGCAAAAAGTTCTGCCTTTGTCAACATGAAAACAAGGGTGAAAAGGCCAAGTTGGGATCGGCTTAGTGCTGGGCTGCCTGCTCTTGGTTTGCCTGTGTATTTGAACCACAAACCTAGCATGCTCTTTTTCTCACTCTCTCTCTGGTAACTGGGCAGTCCTTCTTTGTCACTGTTGGGTCAAAACAACCCAAGATTTGTGCTTTACCTTAGTAAGCAGTTTAGTTTTCTAGCATGATCTGGTCACTTAGAGCATGCATTTTGGAAATGACAAATAAAAGAAGCATTTCCTGTTTCTGCTTGGGCCCCCAGTTACAGGGCCCAGGTCTAGCCTTGGAAGGATAGTGGAGCAAGTGCTAAGCCTTGGATGCAAATCAAGTCTTTTAAAGAGGGAAAAGTGACAATCACTCCCAGCACACCAGAGAAGCCAGGGCTAAATATTCACTTGTAAAAATCAAGCCTTAGCTATCTAAATGCATTTATACATAAAGAAATAACTGAAGACATTTTTGTTACCAAGCATATTTCTTTATATTAAATGCTTGACTTGAGTAAAGAATAACTGCATGACTCTTCCCAGGGAAAATGAGTTGGCTCTGGATGAAAAGTTGAAGTTTTGAAATGAGTTTGAAGCTTGTTAAAAATACCCTGACAATATAATCAACTACACTATATAATCATTTCCCCTAATAGTTACCTGTCAGAGCACCTATTTTCTTTACTACAGGATTAACCCATCAGAAGTAGATCTGGGTTGGACATTCACTGTCTAAAAACTGCTTGAATACATTTAAGTCTTTACTGTCACTTTCTTCACTGCCTATACAATAAACTGGCCACGTTGGGAAAGTATTGGCTCATGATTCCAGCAGATTTCTTGGTAACTATGGTCATGCTGCAATTGTACTTACCTATCAGAAGGTTGACATAAATAATAAACATAACATTTCCTTTCAGATTGTCAGTGGAAAGATGTTTACTTTAATGTCCTCCATGAGTGAGGAGAGAGGGGATTTAGGTAAAGTTTAGATGAAAAGAATGAGTATAGTATAGCACAAATACAAAACACATGGGACAGTAAATAATTATGCCCTCTGTTAT